CATTGTGTATAAGTTTCATAACATTTGGTTGAGGCAAACTAAAGTGAGAGAACGGAAATGAAAAATTCAGCAATTTTTCCATTTGTAAAGGAGCATAACTCTAGAACGGTAAAAGTGATGCCACCAAAATTTACACTTGATCTGTGTTTTTTGGTAATAAGCATTGTGTATAAGTTTCATAACATTTGGTTGAGGCAAACTAAAGTTAGAGAACAGAAACCAATTTTACATACGTACGTACAGACGGACAAGGGTAAAACTAAATGCCCCCGCCGCTACTGCAGGGGCATAACAAGTGAAACTGAGAGCTACTGCTCACTGATGATACCCCAGCCCAAATACTTGGTAAACAGGAAGTTGTTGAGTGATGAATCTGAAAACGCATCACACGGTATAGCTGACTTATATAAACCCTGAACCCAATTTCAAAATTTTTGTAGTGTAGTTCCTGAGAAAGATGGGATGAAAAATATTCATGGGACGGACGGACTGATGGATGGATAGACGGATGGACAGACAGAGGTAAAACTGTATACCCCACTTTTTTAAAGCGGAGGTATATTAAAATTTAATAGTAAAATGATTTTCAAAAGAATTCAACTGAATTAACACTTTTTTCAAAGATGATGAAAAATGGTCTACAAATTTAAAGAATACAGAAATTAACATGTTCAAGGAGCTCCCATCCAGACTACAAGAAAGTTTTGGACTTCTTCAATCCGGTCAAATAATGGGACATACTTTTACCATCTATGAATTACTGGCATTGTATCATAGCCTTAACTAAACTTTTTTTTTTAAATGTGACTTCGCCCCCAGCTGGTGACCTCTATTAACACTGGTATTCACATGTTTTTTTCCTGTTCTAATGAATGAAGGTGGATTTACATCAATGGAAAACACTATGCATATTAAGGACACCATTTTTATACATGTATGTAAGAAACCTGCTTTAATTTGTTGTAGACCGATCTAGGTTTAACTAGATTTTAAGCATGCTACCTCAAAAAGAAAGAGTTTGCTGAAAGACATTCAACTCTTTTCCTTAATGCTATGTGCTTTGTCATGTATACTGAGGAGTAGGAAATACTAGTTTTAAGTCTAGAATAAGAATCTAACTTACAATCACCCTTACTTAAATTTGGTAGGCAAATTTTCAGCGGTTGTTGTTCGTTGCAACATCATATTTGTTTTTCATACATATTGTACATAAACTAGGCTGTTGGGTTTCAGTTTTAAATTTTTTTTTTTTTTTTTTTTATGTCTGTCCTTTAATAGCTTGCTATATATATATGCAGTATCAGTTTTACTCATCCTTGAAGACTGTACAGTGACAACATTAAGTTGCTACAATTGTAACATCTATCTCATTTGGTCCTTGGTTGATAGTTATCTCACTTGCAATCATATCACATCTCCTTATTTTATATTATACAAGACTACAAGCTAGCTGTGATCAATGGTCATATAAATAAAATGATAATTTGAAGTATTTTTAATATGCTTGACCAGAATAAAATGCCAGTTTGGTACCGTGTACTATAATATAAATATTCACTGAATCTATAAAATCTTGTCATTCCAAATTGCTATTTCAAATGAATATTTATCCAAGGCACTAATCAAATTCAGATACATGTATGATGCACTACAAATATATGCACTAAGACTTTGAATTCTTATAAATTGCTATTTCAAATGAATAATTATCCAAGGTATTTTAAACAGCTATCTAGTTGTATGATCTTTCTAACAAATTATTAGTTTGCTATTTATACAATGCACTATTTGCTTCTTGTCCAGTTTAATCCCAACATCACTTCATGGTAGTACTACTGTACAATGCTGTTTGAGCTATTCATTTTTCCAAAAACAATGAATAACATACACAAAATTATGAATTCATCCACTCTTTCATAACTTGCAACTACCAAGCGATTGACATCTATTTTTCCTACAAATCATAAGTGCACATTTATCATTTGCAGACTGCTTCATTTTTCTAGCTGGGAATCATCTACAAAAAATATTTATATATATATTAAGAATGGACTTGTTTCTTTAGTTTATATGTATTGTGTAAGTACTCTAAAATTAAATTCCAAGAAAATCACAATTACAACAACTTTTATTTAGGTAGGAGAAAGCATTCAAGCATGGCCCGAGAACACAGTTATTTCATAGTGCATTTCTTTTAGACAATAAATGAAAATTAAAAAATCCCACCCGCATTTTCTCAACAATATCATGAATATTTTTACAATGTGGTGTACTGATTTTAGGACAAATTATATCAAAATTATAGAAACTTTATCAGCTCTAACTAGAAATATGGACAATTTTATGTTAAGGGGGTTGCGGGGTCTTGAATTCTTTTGACAGCTTCCGAAAAACTAATTGTTAACCTTTTTTAGCTGGACCAAATCACAACTTTACTTTAAAATTCATGACCCATTTTTTTACACTGTAATTTCATCCCCCTACTTGCTATTTGAGGCATAAAACATGAAGAAATAAATTTGGAAGGGGTATAAAAAAAATAGCAAGTAACACAGTGTCCAGACTAGGGACTATATTTGTAGACAACGAAAATCAAAGGACATAACTGTAGCTTTTGACATTAAAATTGAAGAATTTCAACTATCAACATTTGGAGCTTTAAAAGTTAAAAAAATGCAAAAAATTACTTTTTAAATGACCTCATATTTAATATATCATGTATTAAAAGAAAAAGAAAACACTCATTTCAGATTTATTACAATTATTCAAAAGTCAAATTTACAAAATGTATATGAGCCTGTGCCTGAAAATAGAGGTTTTTGAATGAAGGGGGGCCTAACATGAAGATGTAATATATTCCAGCAATTTTAAATTTGTGAAGTTTTTTGTTATAAATAATCCTTCCATATGTATTTAATGTACATTGCATGGAAAGAAAAATTACAAATAGCATAACATATGAGTACAAAATGGTCAAGTAAGACTGAAAATAATTTAGGGTCAATTTAGGCCATAGCACATATTTACATTTAAAAATGCATACTGAAGCTATAGGAAATACAAATTTGTTTCTTTTTGCTCATTTCAATACTCAGGTGACATGATACAAGAAGTCTGAGTACAAAAGAACTCTTGCATTCAACTTTTTTGCTGATAGTATGGTCTGATACAAAGGCTTTTCACTTGCATGCAATTTTATTCTCAACAGGCATATATACATGTATGATACTGTCATGACTGTATCAAATACTATCTAAAAATTGGCCTTTTGTCTGTTGTTACAGTAAATAAACTACTTTAAGAACATAAGATTAAAGAAAAGGCCAGCAATAAATTCACTGTTGGTCATGAAAAATAAAATTGTCTCTGGTTAATTTTTATGATCTTTGTCCTACAAGTACAAGTACATGTTATGGGAAAACTTTACCTCAAGTCGGCCAACTAAAATAGTTATAATTCGTTCTAAAATTTATCAGTAAACCCTGGATTTCATATGACATTTGTGTTTTAATTTCTTTCATCATTACATTTTGTAATAATTAATGTTTTAAGTTGATAAATAAATACCCAATATAATCTTTAACTAGAGGCTCTAAAGAGCCTGTGTCGCTCACCTTGGTCTATGTGCATATTAAACAAATGACACAGATGGATTCATGACAAAATTGTGTTTTGGTGATGATGATGTGTTTGTAGATCTTACTTTACTGAACATTCTTGCTGCTTACAATTATCTCTATCTATAATGAACTTGGCCCAGTAGTTACAGTGGAAAATATTTTGTAAAAATTTACAAAAATTATGAAAATTGTAAAAAAATTGACTATAAAGGGCAATAACTCCTTAAGGAGTCAATTGACAATTTTGGTCATGTTGACTTATTTGTAGATCTTACTTTGCTGTACATTATTGCTGTTTACAGTTTATCTCTATCTATAATAATATTCAAGAAAAAAACCAAAAGCTGCAAAATTTTCTTAAAATTACCAATTCAGCGGCAGCAACCCAACAACATGTTGCCTGATTGGTCTGAAAATTTCAGGGCAGATAGATCTTCACTAATGAACAATTTTATCCTTGTCAGATTTGCTCTAAATGCTTCGGTTTCAGAGATATGAGCCAAAAACTGCATTTTACCCTATGTACTATTTTTTAAGCCATGTCGGCCATCTTGGTTCGCGGTCGGGGTCATCGGACACATTTTTTAAACTAGATACCCTAATGATGATTGTGGACAAGTTTGGTTAAATTTGTCTTAGTAGTTTCAGAGGAGAAGATTTTTGTAAAAGATTACAAAAATTACGAAAAATGGTTAAAAAATTTACTATAAAGGGCAATAACTCCTTAAGGGGTCAACTGACTATTTTGGTCAAGTTGAATTATTTGTAGATCTTACTTTGCTGAACATTATTGCTGTTTACAGTTTATCTCTATCTATAATAATATTCAAGATAATAACCAAAAACGGCAAAATTTCCTTAAAATTACCAATTCAGGGGCAGCAATCCAACAACGGGTTGTCAGATTCATCCGAAAATTTCAAGGCAGATAGATCATGACCTGATAAACAAATTTACCACATGTCAGATTTGCTCTAAATGCTTTGGTTTCAGAGATATAAGCCAAAATCTACATTTTACCCCTATGTTCTATTTTTAGCCATGGCGGCCATCTTGGTTGGTTGGCCCGCTCACCTTACACATTTTTTAAACTAAATACCCAAATGATGATTGTGGACAAGGTTGGTCAAATTTGGCGCAGTAGTTTCAGAGGAGAAGATTTTTATAAAAGTTTACGGACGACGGACGCCGGACGACGGACGACGGACGCCAGTGATGAGAAAAGCTCACTTGGCCCTGTGGGCCAGGTGAGCTAAAAATGCATTTCTTAACAGAATACAATATAGCATGTTGCTTCATACTTCTTTTTCAAATTGGTTTGAATATCCAGTAAAATTACGTGAGCAGGTACATGATAAAGGGTGCAACAACCCCTTCCCTTTCACACCGGTACAGCTTACCGGTGAAGCGTTTTTTTGGTTGCGTATTATCTGAGAATCATTGTAGCGTTTTTATTTCTGAGTGTATAAACATAATTCTTACATGAAATTAAAGCCAAGAATTTAAGCTTTCAACTAGTATAATATGGTGTATGTTTAATAAAAATAAGAAATTTCACAGCGAGATGAACTTGCACTTGACAATTAATTTTACGTCGAAATTTACGGGGATTTCCCGTTTTGTCAATATCGGAACTAAACTGTCGAAACTTCACTCTGTGAAATATTTCGGCTTTACAAAATTACACGCTAATAAATTCGACAATTTGCTTTACAACGATGTATATTTTATTTGGGGAAAACGCCATTGAGTATATTTCTTTGTTCATGTTAATGCACTTGCTTACGATTAAACCAAGAGAAATGGGAGAAATTTAAAATTATTACGAAAAAAAAAAACCAACAATACTTAAACTATGAAAAAGTGATTATACACAAAGAAAATCTGGACTTTTAGGCTTCCAAAACTGAAAAGTTTATTAAAATCGGCTGGGGACTTCTAAAGTTACGAGTCTTTACTTTTTTATGATCGCCGTCAAAAACGAGTGAAAAAACTATGGAGTTTTTTTTTTACGATAGCCAATCATTTCTTTTATGGGTCATGTATGCGCGCACCTGCTTTATTCTAGTTTCTTTGGAGAGAATAATCAATTAAATCTTTGCTTCTTCAAATTTCGTACATAATTTTATTTTTAGCGGTCACCCGGATACATTCCGATATCGGGTATTTTGTAATTTGTGATTTTACGGTTCATGACCTCAGTGTTAAAATCAAGGACAAATGGATACCGATTTAATTTCATCAGACGAAGAGGATTATTTGGATTTGTTGCTTCAGGATGGAGACATCGTTGATGATACTGAGTCATACACAACAGAACCCGAAGTTTTGTAAGTTCCAAATTCACACAATGAACGCAAAATCTTCTGCTTTCAATTGTGACAAATGGAAGTTCCTTCAGCAATAACAAGTTCAAATTTGTACATAAATATTCTCTGGCATGTGAAGTTCCATATTGATCATACTCTTATTAACCCCTTAACAATTTGGTCACACAGTTTTGGTTAACATGAAATATTTGGCTTGAATATTGTGAAATAAAAGCAAGTACATGAAATTATACTTTTTCATGATTTTTAGTTTATTCTGATGTTCGTGTTAGGGCAAAGTTGAGTGCCCAAATACATATTTTACCCCTTCATATTCTAAATGTGTCTGTCCAAATCCATGAGCCTGTGATCTGTTGAATAATAATTGTTTTCTCAAAGACAATCATACCACATCTCCTTTTTTTTATAAGCAATGACCATTGTTTGAAAGATAATCATGATAATGTTATTCAATAAAAGGCTGAAAGTGTAGAAAAATTGAACATTGGTACACAAATAACAACAACAAAACAGAACAAAAGAAATGCTGGTCAGTTGGGAGTCAAAATACAAACAAATAAACAAAAAAAGGGGTAAACATGCAATATTTAACTGCACATGCTGCAGGCTTATTGCATTTTTAAAATCTGTCTTGGACTAGTTCAAAGACAGGTACAAAATGTAGGTTGGTTTTGCATTATTTATAAACATCATGCAGAATAACATTTGATGCACTATTTGCAACTAGACATCAATATATTTATTATGGATAAAAACAGATGTGCATGTACATGTAGGGGATACAATGAGCCAGCAGTCCAACAACAAAAAAATACAAAATAAAGTATACATCTTACTGTTCTACACAATACATTTGTAGATCTATAGGTGTACATGTATATACAATATGTCCAGTGTTAAATCATCATGATTTTTTGTAAAGTTGATAATAAACCTTCTATGAACATATAATTCTCCAAATGACTAGAAACATTACACTATACATGATCATGAAAGTATGCTATTAGAAAATTTGTGTTTGCAAATATCTGTTAATCTGGTAAAACTTTCTATATATTATCATACATTATCTAGTTATAAATATAATTATGAGTTAGATTTTGTTTCTTATAAATGTATGTATTTTCTAGTTCATCACAAGACAGTTCTCAGAGTTTATATGGTGACACACTTGCCAAGAGTGTTTATTGGAAAGATGAAAACACCTTTGATGATTCAGCTCCAGACCCAAGAACAAAGGCATTCAAACCAGAAAAACCTCCAGGTTTTCAGTTTGCTAACTTCACTAGGTAAATGGTTATGTTGTATGAATTCTTACTTTAAATGGATATTTCTGTTATCTTTTCTTCACTTATTTATTTAAGAAATATTTCCATATTCATAGAAGATAGTTTTCAATTCATTCAAAAAGCCCTTTTTCCAATCATAAAAAATGTGTAATATTCACTTTCACTATAGATACAGGTCAAACTTTCCCTTTTATAGTTAAAAACCCTGTATTTTGATGAATTAAAGAAGTGTATTGAAATGTCTTAGAATATTTACAATAAATTTAGTAAAAAAAAATAAGTTGTCTTATGTTGGCTTGCCTGTAATATTTTCTCAGTACAGGTTTTGTTTTAAAGATGTCCATTTTATATTGGTAGGAAACAGCTACAAGGACTTAAATCACCAGCAGATTTCTTCAAACTCTTTTGTACAGTGGAACTTCTTACTCAGATTTGTATAGCCACGAATAACCAGGCAAGAACTCTAATTAGTGCAGGAATGTGCACTTCATACACATCTGATGGAGCTTGGGAATTACTTACAGTAAATGAGTTACTACGGTAAGACTTAATATAAGTGAAAAAAATATGGCACCATACAAGAAACCTGTTGTTGATGTTTAAATAAACTTTTGGGTTGTTGTATAATTGGTATATGGTTTTAAATACCCTTTAACACACCTTAATTTATATATATATTTATTATAACATATTTTATATACACAAACAATGGAATAGAAGGGTATTAATGTTCAAAATTCAACCAAGTTTCCACAATTTGTCTTCATGTTCGTGCACATGTTCCCAATGTTTTATTATACGACCGCAAATTCGTATATTGGTATAACGTTGGCATCGTCAGCAGCGGCGTCTTCGTCTTTGTCCGAAGACACATTGGTTTTCGCACAATAACTTTAGTTTAAATGAATGGATCTCTAGGAAATTTTACCATAAGGTTCAATACCACAAAAGGAAGGTTGGGATTGATTTTGGGGGTTATGGTACCAACAGTTAAGGAATAATGGCGACAAAAAGGGACCAAAAATAAGCCTTTATTCTTAACTTCCAGACAATAACTTGTGTGTTAGTGTATGGATCTTTATGAAATTGTACTACAAGGTTCCATATCAAAAAGGGAAAGCTGGGTTTGAGTTTAAGGGTAATTGCCCTAAACGTTTAGGAATTTGGGGCCAAAAAGGGGCCAAAAAACAAGCATTTTTCTAGTTTCGAGACAATTACTTGTGTTCAAGTCTATGGATCTCTCTGAAATTGTACTGCAAGGTATCATACCACAAAGGGAAGGCTGGGATTGAGTTTGGGGGTGATGAATCATAAGGGGGTTCAAAAAATTTGGGGGGGGGGAATTGTTTTTGGTCCAAAATTAAACTTAGTTTGATTTTAACAAAAATTGAATTCTTGGGTTTCTTTGATATGCTGAATCTAAACATGTATTTAGATTTTTGAATTTGGGCCCAGATTTCAAGTTGGTCCAAATTGGGGTCCAAAATTAAACTTTGTTTGATTTCAACAAAAATTGAATATATGGGGTTCTTTGATATGCTGAATCTAACCATGTATTTAGATTTTTTTATTAGTGGGCCATGCTATCAAATTGGTTCATATTGAGGTCAAAAGGGTCCAAAATTAAACTTTGTTTGATTTCATCAAAAATTGAATTATTGGGGTTCTTTGATATGCCAAATCTAACAATGTATTTAGATTTTTAATATTGGGTCCCGTTTTTTTAAATTGGTCTACATTAAGGTCCAAAGGGTCCAAAATTTAACTAAGTTTGATTTTAAAAAAAAAATTAATTCTTGGGGTTCTTTGATATGCTGAATCTAAACATGTGTTTAGATATTTGATTATGGGCCCAGTTTTCAAGTTGGTCCAAATTGGAGTCCAAAATTAAACTTTGTTTGATTTCAACAAAAATTGTAATCTTGGGGTTTTTTGATATGCTGAATCTAACCATGTATTTAGATTTTGGATATTGGACCATAATAGGTAAATTAACTATTTTTAAGTTCTTAGACCACATTCCTTCTGTGTCTAAAACCTATGCTGTGTCAAATATTTAATCACAATCCAAATTCAGAGCTGTATCAAGCTTGAATGTTGTGTCCATACTTTCCCCAACTGTTCAGGGGTCGACCTCTGCGGTCGTATCAAGCTGCGCCCAGTGGAGCATTTTATTTAAATTAGCTTTTAACTTAGTTTACAAAGTGAAAGCAGAGTATTATATAAGATTTCTTTTTATTTACTGTTATCTTTTACAGATTTGTTGGTATTGTTATCTACATGTCAGTTGTAAAACTGTCCACAGTTGATAAATATTGGTCAACTGATGTGTTATACAAGAGCTGTCCAATAAGAGATGTTATGTCAAAGAAAAGATTCCTTGCAATACTATCATTTATTCAAGTGACGTCTCCAGCTGAAGTTGATAAAGGTTAAGTATTTTATTAAAATAAATATAATCAATATTTGAAAAAGAATTACATATTGCTTGCTTATTGTTGTAAACAGGAAATACAGTTGCAAGCTATTCAGTTTTTGTCTCGCCTTGACGGAGTCAAAAAGCGAGACATAGGTATGCTGTTTCCGGCGTCGGCATCAACAATGTATTAGTTTGTGATTAGGTCTAGTTCATGGTGAACCACTAGTGGTAGGTCAATGATTTTTGGTATGCAGTTGTATTAGCATTGGCACATCTCATTACCATGGAGATTATTTGGCCCTGCCCCCTCAGTCAAGGTCTATTGACTTTGAAACTTTTCATAGTTTACATGTATTAGTTTGTGATAAGGTCAATTTATTGGGAACCATTAGTGATAGGCCAATGTAAATTGGTGTTCAGTTGTATAAGCATTAGCACATCTCATTTCCATGGAGATTATTTGGCCCCGCCCTCTCAGTCATGGTCTATTGACTTTGAAAGTTTTGCTTAGTTTACATGTATTAGTTTATGATTAGATTATAGTTTAAGATGAACTGCTAATGTTAAGTCAATGATATTTGGTATGCAAATGTATTAGCATTTGCAAGTATCGTTTCCATGGAGATTATATAGCCCCACCCCTGATCATGGTTCATGGACTTTGAAACTTTTACATAGTTTACACAAGTTCATGTTTGTGTTTAGGTTTGTTTAAAGGGAACGACTTATAATAAGTCAATGGTATGCAGTTGTATTAGCATTGGCACATCTCATTCCATGGAGATTGTTTAGCCATGTACCTTCAGTCATGGTTCATCGACTTTGAATATTTGCATAACTTACATGTTAAAGTATTGCTATTTTAATTTCAACATTGCATTATCAAAATTACAAAAAGGCGAGACATATCTCTGTGTTAACAGTTTATTCATTATATGTACTTAATGACTTTATTTAAAATTTTACATTTGACCATGATTTTTTAAAAAGATAATTTTTATATCAACATTATAATGGATAAGGGGCATGTATGTCATATTAAAAGAATAGATATGTCTTTTTCTATAAACTTTCATTCTTCAACTTAAATACATGGAATTGAAGAAAATGAATACCTACAATGTGTGTTAACTTTTTGTTATCCTTCAACAATAAAACTATTAAAAATTATTAAATTTAAAATGAAAGCTTTCTTTACCTGTTAATTACAACATGAAAAATTAGAAATAGGTGTTGAATAAATGCTAGAAAAATATGCAATCGCCAAAACTAAATTGTTAATGAAATACTTATATTAGAATCCATGAACTACATACATGTAGGATTCAAACTTATGTTTTTGATGAAATAAGTTTGAAAAAAAAATATATTTTAAAACATTTATGCAAAACATATATAATTTTTATTACAAATATATATGTAGTATTGTAGATGATAAACGAATTTGTACTTTTGTTGTCCTCTGTTTTTTTTTTTTTCTATTTTCAGTAAGATGTAAAATCAACATATTATGATGATTGACTGGAGAACACATCGCTGGACGATTGTGAAATTTTATATTTAACATTGCCAACCAGTTGATCTGGGTCCAAAAAATGCATAGCTTTTGGTTAATAATGACCAAGTATAGGCTTTCGATAGACAGTGACAGATGTTTATTACCAAAGCACAATATACATTGAAGGACCACAGTGAAAAGCTTATGTCTAAAATGGAGAATGCTTAAGAACATAGAATAACTAAACTGCTTACTTGAATTTAAAAGAAGGAATTTTATTCATCAAAGATATATATTTTATCATATTTACATCACTGTGCATTTTGTGAATTGTTATTCTTAATAAATTGTTAACTAATTATTCACAAAAATGTGTTTTGTCCTGAATGCAAGATATCTGGATAACAATCTGGCAGCAGAGGAAACATTGCAAACGTTTTGTAAAAGGCTTTATATTTCAAGATATTTTCATTAAATGGATTAGTGATCACAGTTCAGTTAATGTGGTCGTTTCTGTATCTCTCAGATACTATTAGCTATAGTCAACTATATTTGGTGAATGGAATGATTGTTAGGTGTACATGTCCTACTATCAGGTTTCATGTGACATTGACCTCATTTTCATGGTTCAGTTAACAATTTTTGTTCTTGTGTTGTGTTTCTCAGATACTGTTAGCAATATGGTCTCTGTATTCGTGTATGGAATCATTGTAAGGTGTACATGTCTGTCTGTTTTTTCAGGTGACAAGTTAACAAGAATGAGGTATTTGCTGGACCATGTAAAGGAAATATCACAAAGTTTATATTTTCCACACAAAGATATTTCTGCTGATGAAAGGATGGTTGCTTCTAAACATAAATATTCTGGCATTCGGCAGTTTATCAAAGACAAACCAATAAGATTTGGAATAAAATTGTGGGTTCTGGCATGTTCTGTTACTGGGTACACATGGAATTTCTTTGTGTACTTGGGTAAGAAGAGAACAAACATAGTTGACAAATCAAAGGGCTTAGCATACACAGTTGTTACCACTTTGTGTGAAAAATTATATGGACAAGGATTTAGGCTATATGTTGATTCTTTCTACACAACATTACATTTAGCAAATGACTTACTTACAAACAAAGTTTATTTAATGGGAGCTGTCAGATCTAATAGCACAGCAATGCCTTTAGTTTTCAAACAAAGTGTAGACTGGAGTAAACTTGTGTCCAGAGGCGATTTTAGATGGCATAGAGAAGGTTCATTTGTTTTTATACAATGGAAGGATTGTAAGACAGTTACACTTATGTCCCCTTTGCACAAAGGTTCTGATGTAACGTCCTGTTATAGAACTATTTCCAACCGTAGTGCATGGAAAAGGCAGAACATAAAACAACCACTAGTAATTCATGATTACAATGTCAATATGGGTGGAGTAGACTTGTCTAACCAATATTTAAATAAGTATTCATCGTATATCAGAACCCAAAGCCACTGGTGGAAAGTATTATTTTTTCACTGTTTTGACATTATGGTAGTAAACTCCTATATAGTTTTTCAGGAGTTTATAGGAAAGTATCCTGCCCAATTTGAAAACACAACATTTGATTCTAGGTTTGGTCAACTAGAGTTCAGAGAGTCGATAGCATCTGAGCTTATGAATATCGGGAGATCTTCTGTTGAAAACATTGTCACCAAACATATGCCATCTTTCCTTAGTAACAGAAAGGATTGTGTTTACTGTAATGCAAAAGCCAGTATGGATGGTTTACCGTCACCAAGCCACAAAGTGTTTTCATTTTGTAATACTTGTCATGTCCCACTTTGTTGCTCAGCAACAAGAAACTGTTTTTACCAGTGGCATACAGAAGTAAATGTTCAACAATATGTCTCTCAAAATGGAAAATTCAAAAAGAGAAAACTTGAAACTTGATGCCAGTAATTTGGATACTGTGCATGTGGTCGTTTTATCCATTTGTGACTAACCAGTTCTTAATTGATACATTTTTTTCATTTGTTAATTTATAAATGTATATGAATTAAAGCAACTTTCTTGTCCACTGGCAAGTGTTGATTATCAATATAAGTAGTACTCAAGTTGACATCAACAGTTATTTTCATAAAGTTGTTCACCTTGGAAATAACCTTCAGTTATCGAAATTTGAGATTTACATCATTTTAAGAAGACTGTTGCCATAGCAACTAGTATTATTTTGTATTACACTTTTAAAATTTGTATCTGATTTCTATTAAACATTATTTGTGTATGCTTATATATAATTCTTATTATCAAAAACACGAAATCCTTTAATGTATGGCAATTTTTCGTAATTTTTCCCACTTGACTACCGTTGCTATGGTAACCCTTTGACACAGTGAAAAAATTTCTGCATTTTTTGTTTTGTTTATTCCATATTTAGTAAGTACTTGATGAATGTTCATCTTTACAACTCTCAAAAAGCTGAAAAATGAAGGAAAAACCGATGGGATAAGGTATTTTTAAAAAATTGGAATGTTGCTTAGCAACAGAAAAAATACATTATTTAGGATTATAATCATTAATTTTGACAAGATTTGAAAAGCTGACTTTCCATGCTTACTTTAACTGGTAAGAGTTATATCTATTTTCATTTCAAACATATTCAGAAATTGTCACGAAATTTAAAATTTCCATTAAATGACAAGAAAAAACGGGAAATTTCAATACTTAGAGACCTGTCACGTGATCTGTTGCTATGGTAACATTTATCAGATATGTTCATTTTGTAGCCCCAACATATCTGTTCTGAGATAGATGGATAAAAAAAGATATACTTTATTGTAAATAAAGAAATTTATGTGATATTTAGGAACACCTTTAAAAGTGAAAATTTTGCTTAAAAATGCATGAATGGGAAGGGGTTAACATTTGTGGAAATCGTAGTCGTGTGCGATACCTACATGTATGACCCTTTGAAATTCACCCCTCAAGACAATTTACTGTTTTGTTGACATCTGTTTATTATAAATACAATGTGAACATCCTGATTATTACCTATTATAATTTCACATTTGTATGGTTATGAATTCATTTTCAGTAAATATATAATACATCATGTAATTTGGGAAATAAAAATATTCTATTCTATTCTATTCTATTCTATTATATATAAAAATATTTTTGAGGAACAAATTAACTTTAAAATTAATATTGAAACCGACATTGTATTACTTAGCTTATTTTCAAGATAATTATGAATTTCATGACAAATAAGTAGATATTAAAGTTGTTTTACATATAATTGTTCAAGAAAATACGAAATATACTTTAAACATATAAATATGGTAAATCAAAGACAAATTTATCTCAAAACTTAATGATCACTTTTCCTGTACCCTTTTGTCTAGGGCTTTCTGTCCTGCATTCTCCAACTGGTAATAAACATGGATATATTTATTAAACATATTTATTCTAAAACCAGTTGTTGGCATGACACGGGTTATGTTCTTCTCATATATTTTATGATGGTATAATACTAAACCCCTAACAGGAAGGATTGTGCCTGATATTCATATGATGAAGACATAATCTTTCAATCAGTTTAATTGAGGTCTGGAGCTGGCATGTCAGTAACTGCTAGTAGTCTGTTGTTATTTATGTATTATTGTCATTTTGTTTATTTTCTTTTGTTTCCTATTCTGACATCGGACTCGGACTTCTCTTAAACTGAGTTTTACTGTGCGTACTGTTGTACGTTTGTTTTTTCTACATTGGCTAGAGGTATAGGGGGAGCGTTGAGATCTCAAAAAACATGTTTAACCCCGCCGCATTTTTGCGCCTGTCCCAAGTCAGGAGCCTCTGGCCTTTGTTAGTATTGTATCTTTTTTAATTTTAGTTTCTTGTGTATAATTTGGAGTTTAGTATTTCGTCCATTATCACTGAACTAGTATACATATTTGTTTAGGGGCCAGCTGAAGGACGCCTCCGGGTGCGAGTTTCTCGCTGCATTGAAGACCCATTGGTGGCCTTCGGCTGTTGTCTGCTTTATGGTCGGGTTGTTGTCTCTTTGACACATTCCCCATTTCCATTCTCAATTTTATATAGTAGATAAGGAGATGTTGTATGATTGTAAATGAGAAACTATCCACCCGAGACTAAAGGACGAGGTTGTTAAACAACTATAAGGCACTGTATAATAATCAACAATGACCAGAACCCATACCGTATTGTGTGGTGAGAATAAAAGGCACAGCATGACAAATTCTGAAATTTTCATAAGAGAAAACTAATGCCATGAGTTATGTTCTAATTTATTTGAAAATCAGGAGATGTGGCATGATTGCCAATGAGACAACCATACACCATACACCAGAGTTCAAGTGGCAAAGATATTTTATAAGCAATTATAAGTCCACCGTACGACCTTCAACAATGAAATATTATAATGCATTATATAGTCAACTATAAAATGTCCAACATGAAAAATTTGAAACAGTGTAAACATGTTAAATGAGAAAACTAAAGGCCTTTGAGATTATTTTATAATTAATCATAGTTTATCTCAGGTGCACTATTTAAAAGATAAAGAGATGTGGTATGATCTCCAATGAGACTATCTTCCAGACTGATCATTTAATAGCTAGTCAACAGATTGATGTAAAGTTCAACTTCACTGGAAATTCATAAATTTCAAAAACTATAAAGAATTAGGTGTGACGCTAAATTCGTCAATAAACTATACAGCCTTTTCTTCTGCTGTGTATCATTGTTTGTTGTTTTCCCCATACAAATTTAAAAATCAACAAGTATTGAAAACACATAATTTCCTATAGATTTAGATTAACAAGCAAAATAAGTCAGTGTAGGTAAACAAATTCATGAAAAGCATTATATATATTTTGATTGATTGGTGTTTAACGCCACTTTAAGCACTATTTTGACTATTGTGCTATTTCCTGGAGGTCTGTGTATATTGGTGTAGGAAGTTGGAGTGCCATGAGAGAACCACCAAACCTTTGATAGTAAAACTGACAATCCTAGACAATTAAGATTGGAGTATTTACATGATTAAATAGCATGCTTAATATACAGGTAGATCTATAGGTTAAAGTGCACAAATGTGATACTTTTTTTTGTGTGCAAATGTAACATATGTCATGTATGTTAATCCCCAAATCTATGCAAATGTAATACACCCGTTTTTGCAGTTTTAGACATGTACCAGACAGAAACAAAAAATGTTAAGAAATATCATGGGATATGACAAAATAATGTCTTAGCAATGATAAATTTTACATTTTTTCCTACCAGAATTCATCTCTGCATTCAGTTACATTGTATAGGAAAAACATATCTTTAAATGGGAAATTTTCAAACCGAAAGGGACACATGGGCCACTTTTACATAACAAAGTGTTTTTTTTTTACATCAAAATGGACGACTTTCGAGTTTGTGCACTTTCCAGTCAGTTTCATATGTCACAATGCTTATGTTAATATGTCACAGTAGGAACCGATTGCGCGGGGCAGCTGTTTGGTAACTCCTTCTTAAAAAAACTTGAGATTGGTGTATAAAAATAAAACTTTGACTTCTGATTGTATAAATAAAATGTTGAAAAACCATTTATAGCAAATGCTTTACTTTTTCCATATAAAACAATGTTAAGTTCTATTCGTCCGATCTTGGACTATTACACTAATATAATAGTCTACATCATGTACACATGATACATGGTCTAAGTTCGACAGGCAGCTCCCTTGTTATGCTTGTCACTGATAATGTTACACAGCTGAGCTGCCCAGTGGGGGATTCAAAAGGGGGGTATTCCAGGGTTGGAACACCCCTTTTTTGATGATCAATGCTTTTGAATGGGGATCCGACCCTGCTGTCCATGTTTATTTTGATGCTAAGGCTAAATTTAATACCATTAATGCTTGAAATTGAAGAGCTTCTCGTTTTAGATTATTTTGTTTTACATGTCGAAGAACAGGAATTTCAATGAACAGTTGTATAACCAAACACCCTTCTTGACATCTTGTGAAAGTCGTCGGATTTAAACAGTTAATGATCATTCAACTAGTTCACAAATCAAACAAACACTCTTGTAAAGTAAGGAATGTATAAGTATATCACTCGAAACTGTCAAAATGTTTTCAAAATATATACTTACGTTACTTCAGTCGGACCATGGAAGTATTATATTGACAGGAACTCCAACGAAAAATTAGCACATTCCCATCCCACTGATTTCTATAAGAAAATAAAAGGTTCCGACTCAGTTTGTCAAGTACGTGATAACTCCTTTGTGGGGTATCTGCGATGCCGCCTTCGTCTGTTCTGTTAACTGAAGCTGGTCTTATCACGTGATTTGGTATCGAGTGTCTTATCTACCTACCAATGTAAATAAACACGGAAACTCCCGTGGTTATTTGTGAATCGCCACATGAATAAGACACCTGTTTCCGTTCAATAAATGAAGGAAAAAGCTGAAAAGATCTAAAAAAATCGGTCCATATTTAACAGAATGACATAAGAAAATTAACTGCATTCGGAAAGAGGGCAAGCTTATTTTTAGTTTTGTTTAATATGTTTTAATCATTGGAACTTGGAAATCGGGAAATATCCGATATCAAAATTTACATGTACCTAAAGTAGGGTGTTTGCGGAAAACAATGTGATGCGCGTGTAGTGTGTAAGATGGCGAAGGATAGCTCAAATTAAGATAAAGGTTGTCTGACAGATTTTTTTTACGAATAGCTTAAAATATTTCTGGATGCATTTAAAGAACGATCACCACGATGGGCCCTAAGCAGTATAATCTTTTTTTTATTCTTAAATTTATTTATGTGTGTATAAATGCTTAACAGTTCTGAAACATCTTACACCGTATGTTAAGCAATTTATGTTTTGTTTCTTGTTGAATTGCATGAAAGATTTGTCATTGGACTATCAGTAAACAATTAATCAAAATATTTGATATTTTTTCCGATCAAAGCCATTTAACCTTCCCCGGCACCCGCCGCTACGGGGAACCAACTTTTGAATTAAATTTTTGTTGGAAATATTTTCAGTAAACACTTAAGTTAGCAGTAAAACGCGATAATAATTGCTGCTAAAAACTTTTTCCGTTTACTTTTTATAAGAATTTTATGATTTTCAAGCCTAGCATGTACATAACAGTTATGCGTGTTTAGCCGCCGGCCCTCTCATGAATAAAAATCTTACTATTTAGATTGATTGTAACTTAAACTGAAAGTTTATGGCTTGTGAGTATTTTTACTCTTCAGGTTTTTATTTTTGGTATACACGGTCGTGGGGATTTCGTTTATTTCTTTTTATTTGTTTTTACGCAGCAAAACCAGTAAAAACTGACATATTTGTCATTCAGTGACATGGTCGGTAAATGTCATTTCCTTGACAATTAAGTACACATCCGGTTATTTCGGTATGTTCCGGAATTACGATCAATCACGAGGTCCACAAATTTGATCGGAACCCATGCATCCATATGAGATTCATATGACATGTCGAGTTAATTAACAGATACTTGACGATTTTGCGGCATCGCACTTTAAACGTTTGAAGTCCGCTTGTTGGAGTTCCTGTCAATATAATACTTCCATGGTCGGACACAGTAAGTAACTGTCAAAAGACAAATGGCGCGAAATCATAGCGTGGATATTTTCGAAAGCTATCGGGATTTTTCATTATTCTAATCTTTACGGCTGAACTCTCAGTTAATTATCCGAAATTCAAATGGTTCCATACAAATATTTTAACAGTTATTATTCATGTTATTTTTACCAATTTATGAAAATGAAACGCATGTTAACAAAAACGTGTATCCACAGTCCCGTTGCCGATTATGTCTCTTTATATTTATTTGTTTATTATTGTTATTAATTTTTTTTCCGCTTTTTTATTACGATTCCTCTGCTAATCAAAGGGAAGCTATCCTCATATTATTTTGATACACTGAAAAGTACTGGACAACGATTCTATCGATGAACTGACGTGTACTAAAATGTACTTAACAGTACTAGATTTAACGCTACGCGTTTTTTCTTAATTACCTGAATCAGTACTGACTGGTACTTAATCGATCGCGATAGTTAGTGTACTGAACATGTACTTAACAACTGAAAAAGATCTTGACATTTTTCCTTGCGGTGAATTCAGAGTCGTTCAGTTTAAAATGACCGTTTCAGTAGTAAAACCCGTTACTAGTGTATAAACTCATCATAGATACCAGGATTTTAATTTTATATTTACGCCAGTCGCGCTTTTCGTCTACAAAAGACTCATCATTGACGTTTGAATCCAAAAATGTTAAAAAAGCAAAATAAAGTACGAATTTGAAGAGCTATTATATTAATATTTCAAACTTTCGATCACACCATGGGGTTTGAAAATAAACATGTGTAATACCTTAGGAATTCACCAGGGTTAGAAAATTGACAATAATTCAAACTATATTAGCATGAAACTTTGTCATCACTTGAAAACAAATGGATTTTAATATAAGTTTGGCAGCAGTTGTAACAAATGAAACAAGAGCTGGCCAGCCTTCAAACGATAATTCGTGTTTTCTGATGAGTTTGCTTTGTTCGGTATTTATTTTCGTTTTGCCATGGCGTTATCTTTACTTTTAGACATGTGTGTTCCTCTTTGTTTTAGATTACCATAGCCGTATTTGGCAAAACTTTTAGGAATTTTGGTCCTCAATGCTCTTCAACTTCGTAATTTATTTTGCCTTTTTAACTTTTTTGTATTCGAGCGTCACTGATGAGTCTTTTGTAGACGAAACGCGCGTAAATACAAAATTTAATCCTGGTATCTATGTTGAGTTCATTTACAACCACTGGGTCGATGCCACTGCTGGTGGAGTTTTTATTCCCCGAGGGTATCACCAGCCCAGTAGTCAGCACTTCTGTGCTGACATGAATTATCATTGATATGGTCATATTTATAAATTAACTGTTTACAAAACTTTTGAATTTTTGAAAAACTAAGGCTTTTCTACCTCAGGAATAGATTACCTTAGCTGTATTTGGCAAAACGTTTAGGATTTTTGGTCCTCAATGCTCTTCAACTTCGTAATTTATTTGGCCTTTTTAACTTTTTTGGATTCGAGCGTCACTGATGAGTCTTTTGTAGACGAAACGCGCGTCTGGCGTAAATACAAAATGTAATCCTGGTGTCTATGATGAGTTTATTTATTATCATTTCTATTTATAAACTATTTTATCGAAAAATATATACTGATAAATAACTACTCAAATTTTCCATGAGTTTCGCATTTTCATTTTTGGTTTTGAGAGTTTATAACGGCGCTTTGGAAATACCAATTGTATAAAGACTAAAAAGCCTTATTTTAAGTTGTGGTAATGCAAAAATTATTTTAGAACTGTTGAATTTAGTTGTGAATAGTTGAAGCTTAAAATCCCTGTCGATACACTTTAAACAACTAAAATTTATTCCTTTGTTATGATATGAAACCACTTATTCATAACACCATTGCCTCTATGTTAATTTCTGCAATTTCAAGCATAAATGACTACTTTGTTTTAAGTTCAAAAAAGGAGAAGTCATTTCATGTCAAAACTATACCTTATCCTGACTTGTGATGAAAAAATCAACATACCTTTAATTGCATTTTAGAACGTACTGGTTCCCGGAAGATTGATAGTACAAAACAGGTACTTCTGATCTGAACAACAGGCAAAATGTGCCCTTCTATGATAATCATTAATATATTTTTTCATTATTCAAAAGAAAAGTTCAACAAGGGTTCTACAGTGATTCCATGTCCCTAAGATTTTATTTGATACTAAAACTACGCAAATAGTTCACGTATTTACAAAGCTACAGTTATGCGTAGTAACTATTTTGGTTAAAATATGTACTACTTTCTTGGATGTTCTTTTCGACCGGGCCCGAATTAGAGGTTCTATACCTTATAAATAATCTTATCATTTTTCTACCACCAAGCGTCACATGACTTTCAATATATTTCATCAATTATCTATCAAATCTAGTATTCCTTACGCGATTGTCATAGTAATGATTAAAATGTTCATCATAAACACATAATCCCATTTCGACACGTTTTTTTTTTTGCTGGACAGAAGATAATATGTCCCAGGATTAAAGTTTAACAATATATCATTAACCATTTTACCCATTTTATTTGAACGGTTATCATACATATAGCCACAATTATTTCCTTGTTTTTTTAAAAGTTAACATAAGACAGTCTTAAACAATGAACTATGAAATTAAACTCGAATTTTTCTAAATTCACAATTTCATGGTGTTCTTTATTTAGGTTTTAAATAATGATATTTCGATACACTAAAACAAGTTTTTCTTATAACAATGAAATTAAATAGAACCGAAAGCAGATGTTTTGGGAATTTCCGTCATCGTATTAAGGAAAATACATTCGACTGTTACTAAAATTTTTTTTATGAAAATGACAGATTAATGGGATATTCTATACTTTGACTAAAACAGAATTAGGTCGTTTAAATTTCATCAAAATTTTGACGAAATATTTATTTTGACCTGTTGACCAAAATATAAGAATTACATGACAATAAAACCACAAAATTTACAGAAATAATTTCAATAGATATGTAACAATTTGACAAACAATAACTTTGATCATTGAGAAGCTTGATTTTTACTTTGCCAATAGTATATGTTTAAAACGTTCAGCTAATTTTAAAGAGTTGAAATTACATTTTTGTTAAATTAGCGAACCAGTAAAAACGAAATATAAACGAAAGTAAAAATTCCAGGATTTATATTTTATATCTTTATTTGAGTTAATATGTAAATCTAAATTCAATATTCGGGATATCCAGTCTGATATTATCTTTATTTTTTGAAATGAGTGAAGAGATACATCTTTTAACGAAATGAGTAATCAAAGATATATCTAACTTTTGATTTGTTGACAATTCAGTGCTGTTATCTTAACCATGTTTACTTATGGTCGATATTTGTTTATCAACGTCCTTTTTTCAAATTTAAACGATAAGTTATACATTGTTACATACTATTTTTGTTAACATTGCATCTTGAATGCTGCTGTACTAATTCTAATTTTTAACGGCTGTATCCGGCATCTCTCAAGTTATTATATCGCTAACATTACTGTGAGTTATTGTTATACGTGGTTCGTGTCGCTTGAGGTGAACGACGAATTTATATTTATAACAAGATACACATTTTCGATAAGCTGATATGCTATTTTTTTAACTGTTAGAAAGCTGAAATAAAATTTAAAAAAAATCTTATTATACTTTTAATCCTTTTTTAATCTACTGTTTTAATCAATTTTACAGAACCAACCACACAAAATGCATCACTAGCTTTGTATCATTATCTATGTTGGAAAATTGTTGGAACAAAGGAGCATGTGAAAACAATCAGAATGATGAACTCAGTCAGAGACCATTTACATAGCGACAAGAAATGGACAACAATCACCAGTGGAAGTTTTGGAGAGGGATTAGGGATGAAAGGTAGTGATTTAGATATTATGACGGTTGCGAAATTAATTGAAATTTGTGAAAACACACACATGAATTTAAATGCTGATAAAATACATTTTACAATGGAAATGGTAGATACAGAGCCAGGTTTCACTAAGTTACGGCTAATGCACAATAGTGACCAGAGTATCATAGAATTCTGTGCTGAGATAGGTAGTGAATTCTATTTTTCAAACCATTTATTTAAACAAGCACTTTCAACCGATATTTTGTCGACTGTTCATGGACCATGTGTATCAGACGAACGTGGTAGTTTTGACTTGGCATACTGTTTATATAGTAAGTTATGGATAACACCAGCAAAACAATGGATAACACGATCAAACCATTCATGGCCGAGATACGATGTTAAACAGGATATTGTTAATCATGGGGTTCTCTTTGTACCTGTAGGTGTGAAAGGATCTGCACAAGAAGAATTAGAATGGCGCATATCATTTTCCGTTGGCGAAAAACTACTTATTCATACATTTACACATACACAATTACTATGTTATGCCCTTATGAAAATTATTCAAAAAGACGTTATATCTTTAGATATAGATTGTAAAGAATTGATTTGTTCGTATTTCATGAAAACAGTTTTGTTTTGGATATGTGAAGAATTACCTCCATCAGAATGGAAACCTGAAAACTTGATATCTTGTTACATGCGATGTTTTAGGAGACTAATATATTGTGTTAAATACGGAGTTTGTCCGCATTATTTCATTCCTGAGAATAATTTATTCGAGAATAAGATACAAGGACAGGCACAGAAAACACTTTTAAACAAGTTGAATATTCTAAACAGTTATGGTTGGCAATGCATCTTATTGTCAGACCAATTCTCAGAATTTCGGGGATCGTCATTTGATGTAAGGAAGCAGGCAGATTATGTACATGTCAGCAGTGTTGAAAAACTATTAACCAACACTATGTTTGAGGCAGACATTTTCCAGCTGCAATGTTATTTTCTTTTGGAAAAAGTGATACACAAGGTATTGTTCAGTAACAGTTCAAAAATCAAATACCTGTACACATACTATATGTCAAAATATATTTTTGAAAGTAGCAGATTACTGCCATTCGAGGATGTGTTCGGTAATAAATCTAATTATAAACAGTACACTTCTGATATACATTTTCTGCTGCTGAGCACACGTCATGACGCTGTATCTGGATGGCTGATGTTAGCTTCGTTTTTCTACAGAATTAAACAATACAATACGGCTCTTTACATTGTCCAGTATGCTTTGTTAAAATGTACTCCGGAAAAACTTTATCACCACATGATTTTTTCAGATATTAATTATGGCCTTTTAAATTTACATTTATTTAAAAAAATGACTATTGTTCAGTTGTGGAGATTTTTGTACTTAAATTTGGTGATATTTACTCCAAACTCCACGTTAATACCGGATGAACTGCAAATTGAATTGGAATGTAGAATGCCTCCAGTTGCATATGGTCATTTTCTTCGTTTTCTATGTCATTATCATTTAAAAAATAGCAGACAATATCGAGATGACCTCAGGAATTTACAGTTGACCATAAGGGAAAACTATGTTATAGCAAATACCAGGGTGCAAGCTTCCTCTTGCAACCTCCTAGGTATAACTTTGGAACTGTTAGGAGACATAGAATCAGCGAGACAAGCTTTTATGCAATCTATAGAATTAATTCCAGATCAAAGGGAGAACAGTGCATTCCAGAGATTGTCATTAATAAGCTGAATGTGTATATTGCTATGTTAATTAATTGTTGGATACGCCTGTTAGTCTTATGTTTTTTTGTCTATAAAGAATATTTTTTATTAAAAAATACCTTAAACAATGAGTTTCCAAATACATGTATACTTATGTTTTAATATTTCGAAATAGCAAAAAAGGGGTTAATACTTACTTAGCTAATGTTTAATTTCAAGTACCTTTGATGGTTATACTACCAATTTTACAGAACATTATGCGCAATTGGGGCAAATACTTTCTCTTCAGTGATGCTCTTATCTTATAAGTTTAAGAGGGAAAACAATATGCAAACGCTGAGGAGGTGATATGATCAAAAGGACCAAACGTTAAACCCGAACGAAAATCAGATGTGAACCAGAGAAATATAAATTCCTTAATTCAAAATGAATTCGGAAGTTGATAACAGCAAATTTGGAAATAATAATATATCCGTAATGTCATACAAGTACAAAAATACTAGCTACTGAGCTAGTGATATGCTCAGTGACTTACGGTTTGATTGTAGTAAGCTCAGTATTTCTAAACCAATATAATATGATTATACTTATATATACATACAGATATGTTTCAAGAATACATGAAAATATAATTCAAAGATTTCATCAAGTGGAAATGAGAAACATTCAAGTAGAAAATATAATAAAAACTCTGCTAACCAGGATAGAGCTACTGCCGATGCAAACATCATTATCTAATAAACTCAACATAAAATTAACCCATTACAAGTTCACTCTAATTTCAACATTCTCAATGAGCTGATAATTGGTATTAAAAATAATTCCTGTTAGGAAAAGTAGATAATAAGCTCAGTAATTAGAATCCAACTATAATTACAAAACAATCTAACAACAGCAAACAAACAAATAAAAATCAATCTTGAAAGCCCAAATTATAAACACGGTTATGGGAGTTTCATCCATGCTCATTGTAAACAATATAGAGAAATATACAAGACGCTTCAAATGAAAATCAGTACCGCAGTTACAAACATGCTTATACTGCATACATAAATGTAGACTTATAGCTTGCTGTTCGGTGTGAGCTAATGCTCTGTGTTGAAGGCAGTACATTGACCTATTATTGTTAACTTTTTAAACTATGCGACCTGGATTGTCTCATTAGTACTCATGCCACATTTTTATTTATATTTGAACAGAATATATGTAATCGTATTGAAATTCAACCTAATTCAATGCGCAGAAGTTTACCGATGTTCAAATCTGGTAAATTTATTATGACTAGTCATTTCAAGGAAACAAACAAAAACCGAGGGAACAGCATAACTCCAAATGAGCAAGAACTGGTGTATTGACAGGGTAAGCGTCTCCTGCTATGCATGCAACAACGGTCATGCGAATTCACACTCAGTCAAACTGTCACAATAGGGAATAAGAAACGACCGGTGATATTACAGATCAGACGACTATTATCATAATCATGGTATTTTTAGGTGTTAGAGACCGAAAAAATGTCTAGTGAGTTGAAACACCGACACAAAGTATAGGTCAACACATTCATAATGATGACCATAAAACTGAAGTAGTGTCTTTTACAGTCGTTCGTCATAATAACTCATTTGGAACAGTTTATGTACAAAATTGATAACATTACGGAAACTATTCCAAACCCTAAAATTTGAATACGACATGCATAATGACAAGAATTCGCAACCAAAATTAACTAGAAATACAATCACAATTTACAGAAATTCCCAATACAAAGGAAACGGTATAAATTAACGGTCGCTTCCTGATACAGCCCACACCTAGTTAATGATATCGCCGATTTTAATACCCGTCAATCTAATATTTGCTTTGGTCATCCTATCTTTTTATTCGAGCGTCACTGATGAGTATTTTGTAGACGAAACGAGCGTCTAGCGTACACAATTATAAGCTAAGTTTCATTGGTGACTTTTTATTAGTACCCATATACTCCGCCAGCCCTAATCTCAGCAAACATAAGTAGCTGAACGTGTTATTAATGAGAGTGAAACCTCAGATTAAGTTTGACAATGTTGATAAACAGAGTTACAAAAACATTGCTTCTGAATTTTCATAAAGAATTCCAAAAAGGCAGTAAGAGATGTAACTAAAGCACTTATAGAGTTCAATGAAATCATTGCAAAATCTACTTAAACCATTAAAATAAGCAAAAGAAGACTAAAACTGCAAATGATAAATTATCAAATTAAAGATGTTATTAAAAAAGAAAAAGATAATTTTGTATGAATCAAACTTTTATGAGACCAAAATATCCTGAAAGTATAAACCTGAAAAAGAAAAGAAAAAGCAAACTGGACAACACTTAAAGTACAGATAAGAATTAGCAAAACGGATAATAGAGCTACGTTAGAATCTCATTATCCAGAACAGTAAAATGTTTAGTGCTTGTAAATTAAACACGATCTATGTAAGCTGATCAACCATTTGAATAAACATTCTCAAAGGATATCAATTCAACATTAATAAGATCTTAGAATATTGTTTCGAGACTAACTTGTTTACTTAACAATAAATTAAAACATAACGAAAATTGTATTCATATGCAGTTATTAACGCTTCCTGTTCCTTTTTTTTTATCCTGTCGAAATATTTTCGAACTGCACAGGGACATATTTTTCTAGATTGTTCATGACGTCTTCCTACTAAATCCATTGGATGTGTACCAAATAAACTTGATATCAAGAAACTTGATAAAGTCTCTAATGCATCAGACCATTACCCGAATAAATTCCTCTAACATCCTCATCATTTAAAGCAAGAAAACGAAATAATTGGACATAGGAAACTTCAGATTAAGTGAGTCAAAGTCGATAAATAGAGTTACGAAAACAACAATGCTCCTGGAAGTTAAAACAGAAAGTCAGAAATAGTCGGTAGAAGATGTAACAAAAGCTTTTATCAATTTCAATGAACTCATACAATCTACTGAAGCAGCAACACAAACAACTATATAGGAACAGGAAGACGAAAATATGATAACGTAATTATTGATTAAACTAAACATGCTGTTGTAAATAAATTCACTGATGATTCCCAAGTAATGAAATATTGTTACTGTTGTATTTTGAAATTTATTTTAAGTTATCAGAAGTTATTCATAGTTTTAAATATATTTCAATATGCAGTTAACGTCCATTTTACTTTAAGTTTTTAGCTGTATCGCTAACGTCAAATATGGCGAAACTCTGTCGTGTGTTGTTCAGACCGTTACTGTTGGGTTATTATTCTGTACCCGAAAGTCTACACTGATGATTTCTTAATTGGAAAAAATGACATGTTAGATTGGTTTAGTCACGATAGTTTATTAGAATAAGCATTTTGAGTCGAGGCCTCCTATATTTTCTAAAGCAAGGATCTCGATGATTCCTATAGAGGTAAGAAGCTGCTTTTAGCTGTATGCTCGTATATTTAATAAGTAATTGCCGTATGTAAGCGGTAAGAAGCAGCGCAGATAGCTGCAAGCCTCGCATTCCTGTGATTTATTTGCATTGTAAAATTTAAGATATTCCCGTTTGATCCGTACAAAATACAAAGAAGATTGATATTTTAGAAGCCATACCCTTATGTAAATGACATAGTTTTAGAACATTGTACATGTATGTAAACATATCAGCTGTTAAAGAAGTTTATTAAACGTATCATTTTCTACAATGAATTATTTATTTACACTACCAGTGCTGATGGAGAGCAGACATCAGAATTGACGGCCGTATTTATTTATCCCTCGCATAGGTACAAGTTTTATGAGTTTATTTGCATTTCTTTACTTAAACTAAACAAAACACGTAAAAAAGCAGAACTTGCAATAAACGCTATCAAAGAGAAAAAAAAAAGCTATCTTTCTGTGAATGGAAAATAAATGGAAGACCAAACTATCTAGACAGTATATACCCGGGGAAAATACACAACTGACAGCCCATGAACATAGAAGAATGCAGATTAAATCTAATTTAAAGGGAAATAAAAGAACGCCAGAAACGGATTAATGCGAGATCATCAAACAGAAATTATCAAAATTCTGAGAGGAAATGTATCACGGTACATAGATTGATTATGTATATGACAAGATCTACCACAATGAAGACATCATAAATGGTTGGCGAACACATTTTTATGGACTTGCTAGAAAGGAACACGATCCAAATTATGACTCAGACTATTTATATTAAAAAGAAAATGAGGCTAAACTGATAGTTGACATGGGCAAAGATCGTTTCAAACATAGTCCTATACCAGACGATGAGATTGGATAAACAATATAAGGTTTTAATATGAATAAGGATGCTAAACACTTTGGTATAAATGCAAAAAACATCCCATACGGTGACCTTCAGTTGTTAACATCTACACCATCTGGTCTCTGGTGGACAGTTGACAATCATAACACATAAGTTAACTTTATATTACAAAATCAAATACACGTTTTCATCAACTTTCAAATAAAGATTCCGATCCAAATTATGAGACAGATAATATCTAATTTAGTAGAAAAATTAGGCTAAAATAATAGTTGACATATGTAAAGATAGTTTCAAGATGGCTTTAGCTATCATTATTTGTCATTTAGCTCTTCAACTGTTTCGGTTCTCATATATCCGTGAGCGTTCCTCGTGAAGGTAAATACAGAGAAGCGCTTCGGACGCATGAAATTAATAACGTGATGTTTTCATTTTTAGAAGCAAAGTCCTTAAATAGACGCTGAGATTGATGAAACAATATTAGAATCTAATAGGAATAACGGTGAACTACTAGTATTACAATTGTAGTTGCTGCCTAAATCAAACACACATATTACAGACTTTCAAAGCTTCTAATGAAGTTATGGATATCTCTTTGTAACTTACGAAATAAGCACAATCGACATATTCTAAACTCACATGAAAAGACATATTAGCTATCATCATCACTTGACATCCAACGTCATCGTCGATTTTAATCCCTAAACGTTTTACATTTGCATGTCCTCCTTTGACACTACTTGGCTAAACTTAAATGATCTTCATATGCCCAAATAGGGCAAAAACATGGTCACCATATGTATGTTTATCAATTTGAAAAGTACTTTTTTCAAACAACATTTTTATATAGAAAAATGTAACATGATTAATTGTTTGAAGTCCTTCTAAAATGATTCATCATTTAATGTTTATTAGCCGGCTGACATGGCTTTTTTGTCAGCGTATAGTTTCCATGGGGACTTACATTTTCATATTCTCTGAAACCAATTACCTCTGTAAAGCCCATCTTATATACACTTGGAAGGGATGCTAAATATACGCTAATCTACAAAAAAAATCGCATTTGGTTCCAATTGCACGAAATACATTTGGAAATTTAAAATAAAAAAAAAAACAGAGCAATACATGTTTAAGCTTTAAAGGTTAGATCATTGAGTGAACTTTTGCAGATGATACTCAAATTGGAAATTTGTCGTCGTTGAGGGCACATGGAAATTCTGTGGAAAATTACAGGTTCAACTTTTTCATTAAATAAACGAGTCTTATCCGAAATAGATTTTACAGGAATAAGGTATGATGTTTTTAACATAAAAACATTATCAAAAACGTAATCTTATTTGAAAAAATAAAATAATCGTCTCTTAAAATACATGACGAAATATTTTGAAATTAAATAGGTTTGATGACTAAGCTTAAGACGTCTTCCACAAAAATCCTCATTTAATTTTGATTTGGTGACAAACATGACGGCATTGATGGCACAGAATTCTTTTTTCTATGGAAAATCACACGTTTTATCTTTTGTGAAACCTCAAGGCGTATTCAAAATAAGCAGGAATGACGGAAGGATCATTGAGCTATCTTCAAAAATAGTAATTTCGACAAGAATGGACGAATAGTCTGGCCCAATAGTCTTCTTTTGGTATTTACATAAGAAAATATGTTCAAATAAACAAAAGATTGTTGTTTCGGAGACCTTCAAAAACATTTGTCATTTAATGTTGATCTGTTAGTAAAATTGCCGACATTGGTTGCAAATAGTTCACCTTGACATTATAAGGAATATAACATGTGTATCTTCTTCTCTGACCACATGCTGAAACCTTTGGAATTCAATGACTTAAATTGTCATTCCAGGTGTACGAATGGATTTCTATCAAGTATTTTTGTTTAAGACCGACACATGGTTTATATTGTAAATGTGTGCCCAAGTCATGAAATATTATTACTTTGTATTTTGAGATTTTGTGTAAGTTGTCAGAAGTTATTCCTAGTTGAAAGTATATTTCAATCAGCAATTAAAGTACGTTTTACTTTAAGTTATTAGCTGTATCGATAACGTCATGTAT